GATATTAACACAGCCACTCTAGCTTTCTTATAATTAGTGTCTTTATAGAATATCTTCTTTAACATTTTATTTTAAATTTATCGATGCCCTTTTATTAAAATGATTTTGTTATAGAAAGAACATTGTTGCTTTTTGTTTTTTAAAAACATTAAACAATTTCTCTCTCTCTCTTTATTTTTTTTTTATCATGGAGACAATGTCTTGCTCTGTTGCCCAGGCTGGAATGCAGTGGCACAATGTCAGCTCACTGCAATTTCTGCCTTCCAGGCTCACTATGTTGCCCAGGCAGGTCTTGAACTACTGGGCTCAATGATCCTCCTGCCTTAGCCTCCCGAGTAGCTGAGACCACAAGTGGGCATCACCATGCCTGGCTAATTTTTATAATTTTAGTAGAGATGGGTGTTCCAGGCTGGCCTTAAATTCCTGAGCTCAAGTGATCTGCCCACCTTGGCCTCCCAAAGTGCTGGGATTACAGGTGTGAGCCACTGTGCCTGGCCTCAAAGTTTCTTTTAATTGGAATGTTTGTTTATATTAAACGTAGTTATATGACTGGGTTTACATCTGCCATTTTTTTTTCAATTTGAGCCATCTGTTCTTCCTTCTTCCCTCTTTACCCAACTTCTTTTGGATTTATTATTTTTTATGATTCAATTTTATCTTTAGTATTGACTTCAAAAGGTAACTCTACCTATTTTCTTTTTTAATGGTTTAACACCTAAATCTAGCTTATCATAGACTACCTTCAAATGACATTAGACTGCTTCATATATAAGAACTCTACAACAATATGCTTCCATTACCCTCCTCCATCCTTTCTGCTATTCTTTTTTTTTTTTTGAGATGGAGTCTCCCTCGGTTGCTACGCTGGAGTGTAGTGGTGTGATCTCGGCTCACTGCAACCTCTGCCTTCCAGGTTCAAGGGATTCACCTGTCTCAGCCTCCTAAGTAGCTGGGACTACAGGCATGCACCACCACGCCCAACTAATTTTTGTATTTTTAGTAGAGACGGGGTTTCACCATGTTGGCCAGGATGATCTATATCTCTTGACCTCATGATCTGCCTACCTCGGCTTCCCAAAGTGCTGGGATTACAGGTGTGAGTCACCACATCTAGCCCCTTTTTGCTATTCTTTTAAATTTTATTTCTACATATATTATAAGCTCTGCAACATATTTTAAACACTCAATTGTCTTTCTTCATTTTTGAAAAGCAGTTTCACTGGCTACAGAATTCTTATTTTTTTTTTCTCCAGCACTTTAAAGATATTCAACACTTTTTACGAATCCTCCATGATACTGGGTTAGTCAGGAACAAAACAGAGAGAAATGAAGCACACTTTTTAGTAAGGAGAGCAAGTCAGTAAATAACATTAATAAGCAATACATATATTATGGAAAGTAGTAAGTTTCTTAGAGAAAGATAAGATCCTTTCATCCTCTGCAGTGAAAGGATGTGCAGAGAGCTGGAGTGCGGTCATTTTTAAGTAGTGCGGTTAGCAAAATCTCCTGAGCAAGACACTAGATATCTAGAAAGAGAGCGTGCCAGGCAGTGGGAACAACAGATGCAAAGGTCTTGGGTGGGGAGCAAGTCTGGTAGTTTGAGACAGAGCAAGGAGGCCAGAGAGCTCAAGCTGAGTAAGGGAGGGTTGGGTAATGGTATGCAAATTACAAGGGCTTTATGGGACATTAAAAAGCTTTTGGGAGCTGGAAAGCCAGAAGAGGCTACAATTAAGTTGTTGACTCCATTGTGTCAGCTCAGGAGTAATGGGGCAAACATAATTGTTGCATGCCTTATTTTGGGAGATTAATTAGGTAGTGTTTGCTGGGTTATACTGTGTAACAATGAACCACTTCAAAATATCAGTGGTTTACATTAACATGATTTAGTTCTCACTCTACATGTTTGTAGTTGCAGGTTGGCTGGCATGGTTCTGGTTCAGATCACAGGTCAGATTCAGATACTGTGTATGTACATCTGCTCATTCAGTGTCTCAGGCCAGAGGAACAGCCTTGAATGGGACATGACTTTCTCATGGCAGAAGACACAGGAGAAAGAGCCCAGATGAACTCATACTTGCCTGTCCCTCCCTCCTAGAGAAAAGAAGCCTGATCTAGAATGGAGTTCTCAGGTCCATATATCTAGACCATGGGGTAGAACTTGGCATAAAGGGAAAAGTTTCAGAGGGAAGTATGAAGAGACTAAAAGTGTTTTTCTCCACATGTTACTTTTTGGAGGTGGCCATATATTTTTGGATCTCTTCCTTTCTTCTTTCTTTTTCTTCCCTTTCTTTCTATTCCCCTCGTCTCTTCTCTCCAGTGGCTGGAAAGAAGGCCCCAGGGCTACCTCCTCTTTCACTTGGGAGGGTACCTTAGACAGCCCAGCAGGCACTACGGCAGGGCCCAGAGGACAGATGGACAGTCCAGCCCTAGCCTAACCCTAGACAAAGTGGTCTTTGCATTTACAATTGATCTGTCCAGGCTTATAATAAATGAGATTCTAAAACTCACTCTTGGATCTATGATGAAGTTGGGCAGTCCATGGTGGAATCAGGGCCTTGAGATTCTGTCAACCTTTCCCTTTGTTAAGACTGAAAAATATACTATATTTGGGATTATATCACACTATGATTTTACATGTATTGATAGGACAGATGATTTATTGTTTCTGAGGACACAATGTTCTATTGTAAACTTGGTACTCTAAAAGTTTTTAATTTCAGAAAATATATGTTTGTTTTCTTGGAATTTCTGAAAGTTATTATGTAAAAGAACATAAAGAGAGAAAAAGCTCTCAAGTTAAAAAAAAGTCAAATGTTTTGATTATGCTTGTTCACAACATGTCTCAAGGTTGTTCTATTCTGTTATATGCAATCGGTAGCTGAGCTCATGCAGTTTTCAGCCTCCTCCCTGAGGATCGTTAGCTCCTAGCACAGTGCTTCCGGCATGGCAGGAACTTGAGGAAAATGTGTTTAATGTTGGATTGGAAATGTTTGTATTAAAGTTGAAGGCTAATGTAGGTAAGGGAGGTTTTTGATGGAGTGAGTAGAAATTTTAGTTGCCAGACATAATGCATTAGTGTGTCTGTAAATTTGTGCAGTTTACAAAGGACTGCTACCTGCAGTGTCTTATTTGTCCTCACAACTCTGTGGGACAGACATTATTTACATTATTATTCATCCCTCTTTTACAAATGAGGCCTGGAGAGGTTAAGTGACTTGTCTACTGTTTTACTTACAGTGATAGTCAGGTCTCAAACCCTCTTCTCCATTCTCCCAAATGGAAGTCAGAATTTTCTAGAAGGTGGGGATTAATAGAAGATTCCGAACTGCAGAAATATTTAGGAAGATGTAATATTGCAATAATGTTCATAGCCTTCCTAACAAATAGCCATGTCAGTGGAATAGAAAATTGGAAGACAGTTAAAGATAGGCTGGTTCCTAAGAGTGGACACTCATGCTTTCTTCATGGGGGGAAATCTTTTCTTAAGTAGAATGGTTTTCTTCCACACTTATTAGAGAAAGTGAATGATTGTAATAACTACATGAGCTATTCTATAGTAATAGCTCAGTTGTAAATGTATGATTTTCAAATAATTCAGAGTTGCTAAAGTGGTGCAACTTATGATACTAAGAGAACATTGTCCATTCTTTTGCACATAGAAATAATTATTTTCTAGAGTGTTTAAGGGCTACAAATCTGTGCCTTGATTCTCTAAAGTATTCATAAGCATTTTACAAAAGACATATTGGTGCTGGGTGCAGTGGCTCACACTTGTAATCCCAGCACTTTGGGAGACTGAGGTGGGCGAATCACAAGATCAGGAGTTTGAGACCAGCCTCTCCAATATGGTGAAACCCTGTTTCTACTAAAAAATATAAAAATTAGCTGGGCATGGTGGCACATGCCTGTAGTCCCAACTACTCGGGAGGCTGAGGCGGGAAAATCACTTGAACCCAGGAGGTGGAGGTTGTGGTGAGCTGAGATGGTGCCACTGCAATTTAGCCTGGGTGGCAGAGTGAGACCTTGTCAAAAACGAACAAACAAAAACAAAAAACAAACAAAAAAAGGCATATATTGGTAAGAATTGCTATTATACAAAATGTATTTTAAGTAGGATTTTACTGAATATCTTATATCACTCAAGTTTTTCATGTCATTTTTTCCCCAGTGTTCCATAGTTCAATGATGCAATGCCTGTGGAAATAAATGTTTTAGAAAACTTCCTCCAATAAATATCAGGACAATCCTTTTCTTTTTCTTTCTTTCTTTTTTTTTTTTGAGATAGGGTCTTGCTCCGTTGCCCAAGTAGACTTGCACTGGGGTGATTACAGCTTGCTGCAGCCTCAAACTCCCAGGCTGTAGCAACCCTCCCACCTCTCAGTCTCCCCAGCAACTGGGACAACAGGTGCATGCTGTCACACAGGTCTACTTTTTGTATTTTTGTAGAGACGGGGTCTCACTCTGTTACCCAGGCTGATCTCAAAGTCTATCAAGACAATTTTGTTAAAAATTACACAACTGCTATTTTTCTGATAGTCATATACCATCTTGTGACTGCCCAAATATAGTGAAGAGTGCATTCACATGATAGAAACATAGTGCCCACAGGGATAAATTCATATCTGAAGTGTGCCTCCATCTCACTGAGACCCAGGGGATTTTGTGTATTGATAGACTTTATTTTTACAATATTCTTAGTATTCTACTTGTAATTTCAATTGTTAGAGTTCACTGTAATTTTTTTTTTTGAGATGGAGTCTTGCTCTGTCACCCAGGCTGGAGTGCAGTGGAGCAATCTTGGCTCACTGCAACCTGCACCTCTGAGATTCAAGTGATTCTCCTCCCAAGTAGCTGGAACTACAGGTGCATGCCAACATGCTTGGCTAATTTTTGTAATTTTAGTAGAGACAGGATTTCACCCTATTGGCCAGGCTGGTCTTGAACTCCTGACCTCGTGATCTGCCTGCCTTGGCCACCCAAAGTGTTGGGATTACAGGTGTGAGCCACCGTACCTGGCCCACTTTAAAATTTTAATCTATGACATAACTGTTTTGCACATACCCAGGAAAAAGGACCAAAAAATGACATAAGAATATTTTAGAAGGTTTCTCTTGAACTTTTCAGTACATCTTGGTAGAGTGGAGGATATGATGATAAAGCCTTTGGCACTTGGGTCAACAATATAATTTATTCAGTACTTCAGCAAATATTTTAAATATATCTATTTAGCATGCAGTCCAAGGGGATATAGTGTGGAACAAGACAGACACAGTCCTTGGCCTCCTGGATTTACAGTTTATAATTGCTGGATTACAGAGATTAGAATAGTAACAAAATGATAGAAAACTTAAGTGTAAAAGATAAAAGTGGAACAGGAGCCATATGAGTTTGAGTATGAGGACAAATAGCATCTACCTCCTTAAAAGGTCTCCAGAAGTTGGTTACTTCCATTCTAATATAGGCCTCACCCTCCCCGGGCAACTCAGTCCACTAACAGCTATATTTTGCCAAAGCATAAGACCTTTAAACCAATGTTCCCTTCAGAGTCTAGACAGCCCTCTGCAGGTTGGAGATTTCTGCTCGGCTTGCACTAACAAAGGCCAACCCATTTTAGGCAACTCTCAACTCTTTCCTCTGTGTTAGCACAGTCACCTGGAATGTGTTCCAGCCAGAACTGTAACTAGTTAATCTCACTTTGTGTCTTAGCCTTGTCATCTTCCACTGAAGTGTCAGTCCCTTTAGGACTATGTCCTTTCCAGTGTAGTTAGTCCAGCAAGACTTCATGCCTGCAACCCCTTCTCAGGTCATCACCTTCATTGTTTTTTTGCCAGGTTTTAGAGACAGAATACTTGTTTTCAGGTGTTGCAAGGAAAAATTAGCATTCAGACAAAAAGTTTTCTCAGCAAGGCAATTTTACTTTCTGCAGAAAGGGTAATACTTGTCAGCTATCTTGCCACAGAAGTACCATGAACAAAGGAAAGGCAGGCATATTTATTCCTTACACATTGGGCCCTTACTGCTGTATCCAATCTCTGTTGGTTGGAGCTGGACCTCACAATGTAAACTAAAACCTGATTGGTTAACAACTTAAAATGTTTCTAAATAGGTAAAGTCAATGGAGAACAAAGAAAAAGAGGAAGTCAAAATAAGGAAGGGAGAGGAAGTTGCTTGTGAAAGAATTTAGAAAAGTAATAACATAAATATCTTGGTTATAGTACAAAGACATAGAATGTACTATGTGTCTATGAGCATGTCTAGCACAAATATGTCAGTTAAAGTACAAGGACATAGAATGTACTTATTCCTTTATATCTAACAGTTACATAGGATAGGGCTTAACAAAGAGTTACTAGTAAAAAGCAGGAAGGCTTTGAAGAAAGTCTTTAAAAGAGACTATCATTTCTAACATTTATTATTATTATTCTTTAACAAGAAGGGAAACTTTGAAGAGGAACTTTTTCCTTTCTACACCAGGCATTCTGCTGTGTCCTTTGGACTTGCTACATGCAGGCATTCTCCAGATTAACAGGGATGCTCATCATAGCTAAGGATTCTAGAGTTTCAAAACCAAGCTCATTGGAGTTCAATGCAGTCTTGTAATTAGTCATATGTAAGTTTACTGCTGCTGGGCGTGAAGCTGAGTTCAAGATGTGAGGTGCCAGATGCTGAGGCAAAATGATTATATCTAGATGGGGGAGAAGACCTTGAGAAAATTTTCTGCATGGGACCAGACACTCATGAAACAATTTTTCCTTCTCAGGGAAAGCAGATGGGATGCCCAGAGATGATAATGACCTGCAGTGCTTAAGTGATGTAAACATGGTACTTTGTGCCCCTTCCCAGAGATGGGAACATGAGAAACTGTGGAAAGTCTATTCATCTCCTGCTAAAAGCTCTTACATTTTATAATCATGATTATTTGCTTTATATATGTTTCCTTCAGTAGCCCATGTAAGATCAGAGAAAATTACAAGTAGATACACAGTTAGAATTATAACTTCTTGCCTGAGTGAAACAGCTAAAGGGATGGGGATACTCTCCTCTTCCTACCAATACTTCCCCCTCTGCTCTGCCTCCATAAGACCATCTGGTCACACATATGGATACTTAATTGTCAAGATCAAGCACCATCCCTCTATTGCTCACCCAAGAAACCCATTACTGAGGGAGTGTCACGGCCTCTCAAACCCAGGAACATTTAGGTGGTTGTAGAATCTCACCTTTCAGGCAGAAGCATAGGAAATATGCAGGCAAAACAACTAGGCCCTACATTTGGTAAGAAATAAAGAGTACAGTCTTTGACAAATTTGATCACTTATATAATTTCTGTTTCATTGGAAGCAAAACAACCAACATAAAATCGTGGCCAAAGAAAGCATATATTCTGGGCACGATGGCTCACGCCTGTAATCCCATGACTTTGGGCAGATCAAGTGAGGTCAGGAGTTGGAGACCAGCCTGCCAACATAGCAAAACCTTGCCTCTACTAAAAATATGCAAGTTAACAGGGTGTGGTGGTCTGCACCTGTAGTCCCAGCTACTGGGGACACTGAGGCAGAAGGATTGCTTAAACCTGGGAGGTGGAGGCTGCAGTGAGCTGAGATCGCACCAGTGGACCCCAGCCTGGGTGGTAGAGTGAGACTCCATCTTAAAAAGAAAAAAAAAAAGAAATGCCTTATGATACCTTGACATTTTCTTACATACTTTAAAAAAATATTAATAATGAAAACTAGATTTTGCCTTTCAGTTTTAGTTATGGTATATTCTGACATATAAATACTTACATTTTCATTTTATCAGATCATTTTTCTTGTTATGTTCAGAAACTTTGTGAAACTCCAAATACTACAATGTTGGGGTTCTTAAAAGAGCCCAGGACTCCACCATATGGCACCCTCTGTTCCTTCACTGGAAATGCTTTTCACCTGTAGCTATTAGAGTTTTTGGTTGAAAACAACAGAAACCAACTTTGGTTAACTTAAACATAAAAGGAATTGATTGCAAGGAAACCCAATAATGGGAAGGCTTGAGAATCAGGGTCAGAAGATGGGCAGGAGTTGAGCAAGTCTGTGCAGCTGCAGCTGAAATCATGACCTGTGCCTGGCACAGGGTCAGTTTGCTGCAGGGTCTGCTGCTGGGTCACCACCTCTGTCTCTGCCACTATTGAGCCTTGGGTATCTGTGTTCTCTTGTTTAATAATAAAATCTATGTAAAAATTAATACTTTAGAGTTAAAAATATCATGACACTGTATTAGCAAAAATTTTACTAACCTCTGTTTTCAAATTGTCATCCTTCCCACTTCCCCCAAATTGTCACATGAGAGCAGACAAAAGACTCTATCACATGACAGAAAGTGGTGCTTTTAGGGCGGAAGTGAGTATTGGAAATCCTTTCCTGCCCTGCTGAAGCCTGAACAATATTGGGTATGGCATGTTTAATGTTACAGTACGCCTCATGTTCCAGTTGTCATTTAGACTGCTGCTTGTGCTGTGAAAAATTTCTCAAGTTCACTGTGTCCTTATATGACTGTCTCAATGTCTAAAGCAGGATATGGAGATGGCAGAACCTGAGTCACGTGCTGGTGTCTTCTTTGTAAGGCTTCCCAAAAGCGTGCCCTGCCCCTATCTCCTCTGGGATTTTCCCACAATAGAAAAGGGGTTTGGATGCTGGAGAGTCAAAATGGAAGACTTCATAGAGCACCTGTTTGCCCTTGCAGATACCCAGCGTTTGCCCACACTTCGCATCCCAGCCAAGTGACTGCTGCTGTTCTTCACTCTCCAAGACAAGATCTGGGCAGGATGAGGTCAGTATTCATTTTGTCCTTACTGCTATTTGAAAACCTTTGTTTCTTCCTCATGTTAGATCTTTCTGGAGGCTCATGCCATCTGGCTTAGAATGCCCTTTATACCATTCTAGTTGGGGTTATTTACTAATTTGTCTCATCCATGTTCATTAGAAATGTCATCTAGCTCCCCATTCTGGTTCTACCTTTATCCTGAGTGTGACTTTAATATATTTATGCCTTAATTATCTAACATTTGACTTTATAATTAAAGTTGATCTTATAGTTGGCTTTACAGTCTGAGTTCGCCTCCATTTTAATCCTACAGACAACTTTAATGTTAAACTGGATTTATCATCTATCTCTTCCAAACCTGCCTCTATTCCTGAATTCTTAGTTAACAGCATGACTATCCTCCAAGTTTCCCAAGCCAGAGATCAGTGAATCTTCCTGAATTCTCTTCCTTTCTGGGCATCTAATATACAATCTAGTTACTGTAGATACTACATCCTTAAAAATCTCGAATCCATTTCTTGTCTCTGTTTGTCTTAACCATTAGTACAAGTTTAGATTTCTTTCATGTGGATAACTGCAATATCCTTCTAATTTGTTTCTATTTTTAAAATACATTCTCTTCAATCTATTCCCATATGTCAAAGTAATCTTTCTAAAACAACTCGGATCATCTCATTCTTTTCATGAAATCCTTTTGTGGCCCCCTTGGGTCTCAGAATTAAAATGAAATTCATCCCTTTAAATAAAAGTCTGACCTTGATATGACCTTTGACTATTTCTGTGATTCAACTACTATATTTCCTATTAGGTGAATTTTGTTCCAGACAAATATAGAATTCTCCAAATTGGTGTTTTACTCTCTTTTGCTTTTCTGTGTTCATTTCTATTAATGTTTTGTTTGTTTTTATTTTTAGTTTTGAGACAGAGCCTTGCTCTGTTGCCCAGTGTGGAGTGCAGTGGTGCGATCTTGGCTCACTGCAACCTCTGCCTCCTGGATTCAAGCAATTTTTGTGCCTCAGCCTCCAGAGTTCCTGGGATTACAGTCATGTGCCACCATGCTCAGCTAATTTTTGTATTTTTGGTAGAGACTGGGTTTTGCCATATTGTCCAGGCTGTTCTTGAACTCCTGATCTCAAGTGATCCATCCGCATTGGCCTCCCAAAGTGCTGGGATTACAGGCATGAGCCACTGCCCCCAGCCCTCCTATTAACATTTTAAAACTCAAATTAATTTTTGAATGATATGTTGCAGACAGGTAATATTTTTGAGATTTTGAGTATGGGCTTGTGATCCAATTTGGAGCTGGCAGAGGCATTATCTGTGACTTTTCTCCTGAAGGAGCAGGAAAGGCCATATTTTGCCTTTCAGGTTAGGGTACTGTAAAGATGTGAACCTAGGATTCCTACCACTTGGAGTAGGAACTCATGGAGTAGATACTCATGTCAGAAAGAATGACATCCACATCTATAGGGAAGCAGAGATAAGGACTAGTGCAAAAGTGTGTAAGAATAAGAAACCAAGTCTTTGTGACATTACTTGGGTCCTGGATCTATTGTGCTTGATATAAGGTCTATTCTGGTCCTTTTTAGTTATTCGCAGATTAAATCCATTCCTCCGCTTTTTCACTCCAACTAGAGTGATTTAGCTTTTATCACTTGAGATCAAAAAAGATCATAGAAATCCAATAGAATCAAATAATTAACATTCTTTATAATTGTAGTCTTTAACATGTTAGTTCTAGCTAGTATAATTTTGACAGATGGTTTTCATGGGAAACCTAGAAGCTTGTGTATATGTGTGTGTTAACTTTTGTTTAAGTCTACATAAAGATTGCTATCCTTAAGAGTAGTTCAGACTGCCTGAATTAGCGCTGGAAGTATGAAGAGGGAAAATGTGTCTTTTTAGAAAGCTTATTTGTAATTTTGTATCACTTAGCTTAATGGTTCTCAACTCTGGCTGTACATTGCATACATCTAACACATTTTTTTTTGAGAGGGATGTCACAATATATTGCCCAGGTTGATCTTCAACTCTTGGGCTCAAGGGATCCTCCTTTTTCTGCCTCCTGAGTAGCTGGAATTATAGGTTTGCACCACTGTCCTGGAAATGCCTGTGACTCTCCCAAACAAAGTAAATCAGAATGTCTGGGGATGGGAGACAAGCAATGTTTTTTTATATTTTTTTAAGCTACTCAGGTTTCTACTTTCAATTAGAGTTGAGAACCATTGATCTAACATGATATTTTTCCTCTTTCCTTTGAGGAGGTCACGTTTCACACATGGCATTTGTTGACCTCTTTTGCTCAATATAATTTTCCCTGTAGTGAGCATAACATTAGAAACTAAGTTGCTGGCTTTCATGTTGTTTTCTAGGTTGACATTAAATTCTGCAAAACTGGCCAGGAACATATGCTTGAGGACTGCCAACCTTTATTTCTTAACATAATAATGTGGCTATAAATGCAAATCTCTGTAAGTTAAGTTACTCTAAATTGTCTCACTTAGATTTGTATTTTCTGAGACTTATCTTGATAAGAGCTTTCTTAAAAAAAGTGACACTAGAAGTAAGTAGAAGATAACTTTCAGTAAGAAAACTGATGCAGAAAAAAAAAAACCATTAGAATGATACTAAAAGAAACTCAGCTTATGTAATTGTGCATTTTATCTGTGGATAAAAAGATTCCTTAGATTCAGATGTACATTTTGGCTTATTTTTTCCCTAAGAGTTCATCAATTTTTCTATCTTAAAAGCAGTTTCTGTCCAAGATTAAAAGTATATTCAGGGCCAGGTGCAGTGGCTCACGCCTGTAATCCCAGCACTTTGGGAGGCCGAGGCAGGTGGATTATGAGAGATCAAGACCATCCTGGCCAACATGGTGAAACCTTGTCTCTACTAAAAAATAATACAAAAATTAGCTGGGCGTGGTGGCGCGTGCCTGTAGTGCCAGCTACTTGGGAGGCTGAGGCCGGAGAATTGCTTGAACCTGGGAGGCAGAGTTTGCAGTGAGCCAAGATTGCGCCATGGCACTCCAACCTGGTGCCTGGCGACAGAGCAAGACTCTGTCTCAAAAAAAGAAAAGTGTATTCAGTTTTTGATGAGGTATCTGATTAAAGACAGATATATTTTTCTTTTCTTTTCTTTTTTTTAAAGACAGAGTCTCACTCTGTTACCCAGTCTGGAGTGCAGTTGCATAATCTCGGCTCACTGCAACATTCTGCCACCAAGGCTCAAGCTATTCTCATGCCTCAGGCTCCCAGGTAGCTGGGATTACAGGCATCCACCATCATGCTCAGCTAATTTTTTTATTTTTAGTAGAGATGGGGTATCACCGTGTAGGCTAGGCTGGTCTCAAACTCTTGCCTCAAGTGATATACATTGCTGTTGGCCTCCCAAAGTGCTGGAATTACAGACGTGAGCCATTGCACCCTGCCAAACATAGATGTACTTTTCTGAATTCCCAATTATGATTTTTGCCTTTTGCCTTTAGGTATTATATACACACAGACAAATACACATACATATATTTGTTTTGTTTTACTCTAATTGCAATAGCATTTAAATAAATCCACAAAAAATGATGGCTAGAAAGAAAACAATAGAGAAATGTAGAAATTCATTAAATTTACTTAAATTTAAATTAATCATACAAGCATTTAACAGCATGCTGGCAGGGTGCAATGGCTCATGCCTGTAATCCTAGCACTTTGGGAGGCCCAGGTGGGAAGATTGCTTGAGGCCAGAAGGTTAAGATTAGCTTGGGTAACATAGCAAGACCCCATCTCTGCAAAATTAAAAAAATTAGCCAGGTGTGGTGGTGTGTGCCTAAAGTCCCAGCTTCTCAGGAGGCTGG